ATATATTAATTCAGAATGCGCTGAGCGTACGTGACTGTTTTTTGTGCTTCGAAATCTTATGTAGCAAAATTACATGCTTCGTTATTAGGTTTTGATAAATTTTAATTTAATTCTAAACCAAAAATAATTAGGTTCGGATTACCATAAATATGTTGATTATTTATGATCATGTTACATGTATTAATTGCATTTTAGTATCATTTCTTATTATAACTATTGAATTGTATATATATTTTAAAAGTTAATAACTTTTGTATTTTTTTATCAGTTTTACATATGTAATATATCAAATTAATCTTTTTTTGATGAGTTTCGATTTAACATCTATATTGTATGTATAAAAAAATAATTTATATTTATCTTTATAACAATATTAAAATTATTTTTAATATTAATTAAAAAAATAAAATTATTTATCATCTAATATATTTATATTTCAAGTACTTATATGATATAAGTTATAAAAACCTAATATAATATAACACATGTAAGTCATAAGTAACACATATCATTCTAAAATATATAGTAATATATTTTTTTTTTGTAAAAAAATAAACTAAATTTTAACATGGTTTTCTCATTAATTTTAAAATTTAAAAATAATTTTTTAACAAACACCCGTATAATACACGGGTGTTGTAACTATTATTGAATAATTGGATTTCATACGAATTTTCTTTCACACACACAACATAGTTAGGGAAATGATTTCGAAAATTTCCCACAATGTCCAGGGATTTCTGTTGATAAACGGATTTGATCAACTTATTTATATTAGTATTTATTAGATTAATAGCGTGATGGGACGATTTTATTGAATAATTGAGAATTATCTAGGAAAATATCAAGTCGGTATTTCGCGAGGTTGAGGTCGGTTTTTCTTATGCAATGAAGCTAAAGTTGGCAATAGCCGAGGTGATTAATGCAGAATTTACGTGTCGGGAAAAAGATCCTCGTATTGCCTTTATTGCTGCTATTTATAGTAACTGGGGGCTCATCTTTTGAGGAGATTCGGCGGCATTTAATGAGGAATGACATCTGCGCAGCTTTTTCTGTCTGTGGGGCCCCCTCGTGCAATGATGTCTCCACATGGGCTCTGAACAGTTGATGGTACCCGCATTAAATGTTG